TTTGATCCTTTTAGTCACAGTTAGTTTTGATAAACAAATGGATACTTATATTTTAGCTAATACTTAAGTTATGAATATTAACACTATTCAATTATCTAAGACTGATGTTTTATGTTTGGGTTAAGTTCTAAAATTTAAGCTGCAGCCCATGTTTAACTCCTAATGTTAAAATCAGTTGCGTTGCAATTTTAATTCTTATTTGGAAATACCTTTTGATTCCTTAACTGTTCTTATAACAAAATTCTTCTAAAATATAAGTTACTTTAAAAACATATGCCTCAATTCCAGCAAAGACGGTGGACAGATAACAGTTGGATACAGAGGCTCCCTGAGACAGTCAACTTAGAATTCAACATAATACAGCATGGGAAGCCCCAAACAGAGGAAGATGAATTCTCTCATCCCAAGAAGAAACTCAGGTGAGAAGAACCAATCAAACATACAGTCCCTGTGCTATTATTGGAAGACCTAAAGGTTCAGTGCTCCCGCCGCAGCGGGCAACTTGTCGAGCCATCAGAGGTCCTGCCACTTTGACTCACTGGAGGAACAGTCACGCTGAGGTCGGTTGACAAGCTGAACGGAGAGCTGAGCAGGTGGGAGAGCCTGCATCCACCTGTGTGAGTGACAGGAGTGGAACCATTCCACAGAAAGGGGGCTCCGGCAGACAACATTCTGGGACTGGGCAGGACTGGCAAGTAGAAGGGGTAGCAGTGACTTCAGTCAGTTGTTCCCTTCCCAAATGGGATTGGGGAATTGAGCTTAGCCTGGGTCATGTGACCTGGCTGAGACCCAATAGGTTATCCGAAATCAATTCCCTATGTCAGCAGCACACACTAACACAGTGAAGGCCCCAGCAGGTTGACTGACCTGGAGGGGAGGGGCCAGCATATACTGTCCCTGTTTGCAACTCACTAGCACACTGCAGTGGGAAGGGTCACCTAGCCAGCGTGCTTCAGAAGAACTGCAATCAACAAAGAAAGAAACTGGGGCCTCCTGGAAGAAATAAAAAAGATGGGAAGAGGAAGCAACAAGAAAAAATCCCCAGATCCCAACGCTGAGAACATTGATCCAGGATGGGTAAATACAAAGGAGAATGAGAACAGCGAACAAGCAATATCAGACACAGCACCAGTGGACATAAAGAGATACCTTCAGGACCTCCTAGATGATTTCAAAAGTGAAATATTTAACCAAGTAAAGCAAGATATAAAACAGATTAATAAAAGAGATGCTAAGTACCCCTCAAGAAGACACAGACGGAAGAAGGGAGGAACTCAAACAAAGGAGAGAACCATTTGATGAAGAATATAAACAAAATATAGAATACATGAAGCAGATTCAAAGAGATTACCAGGAAATTAAAAACTCTATGGAAAGATGGCAAATCTGCTTGAAAGAAACTAAGGATTGATTGTCCAAACTGGAGGACAGGTTTGCAATGTGGAATTATGAAATGAAAAACTTTTTAAAAATAACAAGGAAACATGCAGTAACAATACAAAGGCTAGACGATGACAAGAGGATGTATAACTTGAGAATGAAGAATGTGAATGAATAAGCAGGGGTCAAACAAAGGAACTACAAAGGCTATTCAGAGAAATAATTAAGGAAAACTTCCCAAACATATGAAAAGGAAATAATATTCAAATGTATGAGGCATACAGAACTCCAGCCACCTACAAGCAAAACAGAGTTACACCCAGGCATATAATAATCAAGATCCCAGAAATTCAATATGAGAACAGAATATTAAAAGCTGTTAGAGACAAGGAACAGATCATCTATAAAGGAAGGCCCATCAGAATAATGGCAGACTTCTCGACACAGAACATCAAGTCAAGAAGAGCCTAGAGCAAAATATTCCAAGCCCTGAAAGAAAATAACCTCCAGCCCAGATTGATATACTCTGCTAAACTGTCTCTAGAAATTAATGGAGAAACAAAATGCTTCCAAGACAAAGAGGAACTTGGGAAATTTGCAACCACCAATCCAACTCTATAGAGAATACTGCAGGGCATTCTAGAGAGAGAGAAAAGTACTAGGATTTCAGGAACAGTGGGAGAGAGGCCTCAATGAATGGAGCAGAAAACAGAATGAAGAAGATAAGCAGACAACTAGTGGCAAAAAAAGAGCATAACAGAAATGAGGCAGAGAAGGTTGGTTATAATCTTTAATATAGATGGCCTTGATAAACTAAATTTAAAAAAAAGAACCACACGTGGAGTAGATCAGGAGGTAGGGTCCACTGAGATGCTATTTATAGGAAATACAATTAATATGAAAAAGAGTACATGGACTGAAAATCAAATAGGAGAAAACAATGCTTTATGTGACAGAGAACCAGAGTAATAGGGGCAACTAGACCAGTATTTGTGGATAGGTTGGAAAGACAGGCTTTAATAGGTAAAGGAATACAATTAGAGATCAAGTCCAGGAGACAAGATTTGGAACCACTGAGGTAAATAGCAGGTTGCCCCCCCCCCCATTTACAACCAAGGGCCTTGGTGAGACCCAAAAATGCACAGTGTACCCTGGGGAAGTGAAAGGGGAGGGAGAGTCTTTAAAAAGATGGCAGAAGATATTGTTAATAGTGTATTAGGATTTAAAACCCACATTACTCACACCACTTTGCTTAGATAGATTTTATTCTGTCCCAGTTTGTCTACTTGCATTAGATTTGAGGGCACAGACAGTTATCCCGAAAACATCAGGATATAGCACATTAGTCATCTTTAATTTCCTATTAACTTAATTTGGAGCCCTGTATGACTTACACTGTTTTATCATGAGTGATCTTAGTTAAATCTGGTTTGTTTGATTGCTGTTTGGTATTGAAAGATTTTATTTAAAACTGGTATGATTGATAGTATCAAGTCTGAGAGTATAGGCAACTACACTGAAGATGACAAGACTCTACAATACACATTCTGGTTTGATAACTACCTGTTTTTGAAGTTTTATACTATATACAAAGTTGTGTTTTTGTTAATACTATTATGTACTGATATATTCAATTATACTATGATGATATAGCCAATTCTATTGAAGATAGCAAGAGACAACACAGGAACTATGGTAGAACTCCTTGTACAATGGTCTTTTATGTCTTTTTAGTTTCATGTGTTTATATATGTTTTGTCTTGCTTTGTCTTGTTTCTCCCTCTAAGATAGAAAGGATAGAAATAATGTTAAGACTAATGCATGTGTAGAATCTATAAATGGTTTAAGAGAACTGATCTTATGACACATGATGAAATGAACAAATACTTTGAAGAAAAAGAGACACAAAGTACCCAGTGCTGATCCTGGAGTGTCATAATGTGACACCCAGCAATAGTATTATTCTGTGTTCAAAGTGAAATTAGCCTGCTTGGGTTTGTTCAATCTCAACATAACTGAAGATATGGATAACTGCATGTATGTTTAAGTGTATAGGATTGACAACCTTAATACTAAGTTTTTGTTGGATAATTGAACAGAACTGTTTGCAGTCTCGCTGTTTGAATTCCTACTTTATATGTTCCACTTTTGTATCTTGAACAACTATTTGTAAGAGGACAATATATAAACATTAACTAGTGATTTCTTACTGTTTATTTTTCCTTTGGACGTATGTATTATTTCTACCCATTTTCTGTTTTGTTTAGTCTTTCTTTAAATAAAATTTTAAAAAAGAAAAACATATGCCTCAGCAGGGTATGATGATACACACTTATAGTCCTAGTACTCAGGAGGCTGAAGCAGGAGGATTGTCATGAGTTCAAGGCCAGCCTGAACTACATACCAAGACCTTGTCCCCAGTGAAACAAAACACCATATACCTCAAATGTTAATATCAGTGCCTGGCAGCAGGGATTATACTACACATGAGGATGAGAGGAGCTGGCCATAGGCAGTAAAATTCCAATTGATACTCAATTTCAAGCACACTTGTAAATTTCTGCATATAACCCTGTTGACTATTTTCACCAATAGCTAACATCAAATACTGCGGTGACCTAGGATTTCTTTGACATCTTTGATTCAAAGTTTCACCAGCAGCATACTTGAAGACTTGTTTGAACAGGAGTCCAGTACTACTCTATCATTTACTCTACTGTTTCCTCCCTCCTTTTCTTCATAGGTTGTCAAACCTATATTGAGCCCTGAGGGTACTTCCCTCTTACTCCTGGTCCTGCTCTTTTGTCTTTAGTTTTTCTAAAAATATCTTCCACATAAAATCCCTATTGGCATCTGTTTCTATGGGAATTTCAGCAACCAAATTCTTATAGCATCAGCCCCGATATTAAACTCATTCTGTGTACTCATATAATCTTCACAAAACCTCTCATTCCCATTTTACAAACAAGAAAACGGCAGAAAAGAAACTTTCTAGCTACCATGCAACTAGTGAGAGTTAGGATTTAAATCCAAGTCTGCTGGCTTCAGAGTTGCAGATATGTTTTTATTTTAAAATAGCTATATTAAAAAAAAAGGAAAATGGTTTCTGAATAAACTGTGTATGTATACATTTACACATCATCACACTTAATTCTAATAAAATCATGCAGCCACTTTGAGAATTTAGTGACTTCTTCAAAATCATAATTAAATCAATTCATAAATTTGACCTTTTACTCAGTCCTCCCCATGAATTCAGCTGTTTACATTATACTGTACTAATTTATCAAAATGACAATTTCTTTCTCTCCTATTAGTATTTACTAAATCTTTCTATATGCAATAGATGTTTCCAGCAGTGCACTAAAGTGTTTTTTTTTAAGCCTCTGGATAAAATAAAATCTGGATAAAATCTATATTTGGCTTTGTTGCCTTTTAGAAAGTAAATGAGAGAGAACATCTCTGCCAACATTATTTGTGAACTCTCATGTGTGATCGAGTGTTCACTGAGCACTCCATAGTCTTGTTTGATTCACTCTTTTCTTGATCCAGTGCTCCATAAAAATCACAGTAATTTTCCAAGCTCCTACATACCTGAACATACCCACATACATTCCTACCTGACTCCATGGGGATGGGGTGAAAAGATGCTTATCTGGAGCCAAGATATGATGAAAGCAACTCACACTTGTAAGGATTCAGAAGAAACCGGTCAGACCAGATGCCTCTGGAAAGAAAGCAGGATGGATGGGCTACCTCATGGGTCATGTAAGTTTTGCCATGCTTACAAATACCCAGAGCAGGCAGTAAGAAGGGCTGAAATCTAGCTTATACTCTGGGTGCCTACCTACATGCCCAGCACGCCTGTCACTGGAGAGGAAAGGATGCCTTCCAGAAAGGCTAGCCTCTTACTATTCCATACCAGGTGCTGTTTGCACAAAGGATCCAAGAAGGCAAAAGGGGGAGAGGGGCTACTGTCTCCTTCCTATCTTCTGCGTTTTGAATCAACTGTAAATATGCTTGTTAAAAATTTTAAAAATGTGTCACTGCACATCACAAGTACTGCAAGTGTATGACCCATACATTATCAATTCTCCTATAACACAGAAATATATATATATATATATATATATCAAACTGTTTTATAACAGCTTTTTGGGCACCATTATTTTAACACCAGAATGTCAATTGGAAAGTTGTAACACATTCATAAAACTAAACAGTACATAAATCCTGAAAATATTTTGTAGAAGCAAGTCTATCAATAAATATGGAACAATTTATAGGAAAAAAAAGCAGGTCACAAGATAAGAGGTAAAGTATTAGAATATTTTTATTTAAGAAGATACAAACAAGTCTATCAGCATGCAGAGAAATATGATGAATAATTATTCCTCAGTGGTAAGATTAAAGCAATTTTCATTTCATTTTCTTTTTTGATTATCTGTATATTCTTATATCTGTAACAAATGGGTATTTTTTCCAACACAAAGAAAACAAACTCCAATTCTGCCTACACCCCATCCTGTTCACTGAGAAAGTCTAACATTTCAACACACTGTTAAATACAGCTTGTCTTAGCCTAGCTTTGTTATCAGCCTCCCCATTTGACATAATTAGTGGCAAGATGACTAATTCTCTTTTGAGATACCTTATCAAAATCTTCACCATCCTTGAAGGCCAACACACAACATGCCTTCTTCACTTCCTCATCTGCCTGCCCAGAAGCAAAACTTTTCTGTTTTCTTTTACATTTTGTGATCAACAATGTTTATAAATAGCCCCTTAAATAATTGACTTGTGTACTTTTTATCTTAGTAGACTATAAATGAAAAGATTTTTTGCCCTTGTTTAATTCATTAAGCGTTTTTCTATCCACCAATCTTTTATTCCCACAACATTAAGAAGAGTCTATATTTACTTAAAGACAACTGTGTTATACAAATCAACGCACGTAAGTCTCATACAGTCCTGTGTATGCATTTTATATATGAAAACAATCTCAAAAAGGTTCTGTGACTTAGTGTCAGATGCTGGTAAAAGTGAAAAATGAGATTTGGTACAACTCTGGTCTTTTCTTTCTATTACAAAAACATGATTTTGTGTTGACCAATGAAGAAGACACAAACACATGAAAGTTCTACTTGAAGGTTTTCTAGGACACTCAGTCTGCTACATAATACCTAGGAGAAAACAAAAAAGCAAAGAATTTTAGAGATGGAAGGGACTTTAAAGATTATCTAATTTGATCTCTTAAGTTATAGAAGAGAAATACATTGTCTTTCACACACATTTAGTAGCTAAGCTAAGAGTGAAATCCAACTGGAGGATAGTAATATCATTAAGATAAGGCCTTTGAAGTGACATGCAATTGTTCAAATCACAGTTTGCTACTTAATGATTGAGTAAACTAAGCCAAATTATAAAGCTTAATCTTTGCCTTACTTTTTCCAACTTTTAAAAGGAAGATAATAATACCTCATAGTGTTGTGAAAACTACATATTACACTGCATCTTAGAGAGTAAGCAATCAGTAAATACTAGATATTCTCTCATCTCCTGTCTTAGTCCAGACTTCTATGCAGGATACTACCCTTTTCTTGTGGATGAGTGTGGAGTGGACATTACATTGAAGGCTCAACGTAAGTAATAATAGGTAAGTGTCCACTTATTTATGTGCTAAGTCTTTTTAAAATAATATATGTACAAACACTTTTTGGTACACAAGTAACATCAATTCAACAAATGTTTATTGAGCCCTTACTATATACCAGTACTAGATGCTGAAAAACAGATATAACTGAAACCTTCACAAGTCCTAAAAGTGGACAGAAAGCAAAATATCTCTGAGATCTTTCTATGGGACATGCAAAAGCAAGTACAAAGTTAAATCAATGGAGTGTAATCAGAGCATGTCAGTATTGGAGATTAATTGTACATGTATAGTTGTGTCTTTTTGGAGAACAGAGTATTCTTTAAGTTCTATGTCATTTCTAATATTGGTTGTTTGGATTAGATTTTGGTAAACTCACTAAAATTAGACAGGATTAACATGGTACTTTAAAATGTATAATAGAGCCAGGGATTTAGCTTAGTGGCACAAGCACCTGCCTGACAAGTGTGAGGTTGTGAGTTTGATCCCTGGTACTCAAAAATAAAAAATAAAATATATAATAATTATCATCTGTCTGCAAGCTACAGTAAAGCAGAACAGTTCTACCAATAATTAGTAAATAATGCCTTCCAAAACATGAATTGGTGCTTATTCACTCTCTCCACATACACACCATGCACACATACACAGAAATGTATTAGTGAAAAGCTGTTCTTGAAGACAGCTGACATTCTGGACACTAAGAGTCACTAATATGTTGCCACTTTCCACATCTCTTGCTCCCTAGTTTTATTCCCACATACACTACAGGTACTTAAGGTAGTATGATATGGCCAATAGTAAATGAAGAAAAGAAATTACACTATTTGCATGTAAATATTTCCTGTGATGACTGTCTCAGTTACTCTGCTCTCATTGCTGAGACAAAATACCAGACATCAAAGTTAAAGAGGGAAAGGTTTTTTTAGCTCATAGTTTATACAGGTTTCAGTCCATAACTGGCTGGCTCCAAGGCATGGTGACACACGGCAGAGCTCAACAGTTCATGGGAGCAAAGAGCAAAAGCAAGCAAAGGAAGGAAGGGACAAGCCCCTTTCTGTCACTCATAATATATGCAGGCTACCCACTCTAAAATGGGTATAGTGGTGACATTCTTAATCCCAGCAGTGGACCATGAATCAATCACAAACTCTAGATTCTCCCACCTCCAAAGTCTGCCCCCCATGACTGCAGGAGGCTTTGGGGGTACATCTAGACACAAACAGTGATGAACAAACACATTCCTCAAATTCTTATATCTTTGTTTTGCTTTATATTGTCTTCTAAATGTGACACTATTTATCCAATTTTGCCTGAGAGTAAAAAGAATGATTCTATAAGGTTTATTTATGAGAAGAAGTATAGATTGTTGTAAAAAGAGCCAATAGTTACAGTCAAGTAGGCTGGATTCAAATAGTAACCTCTAACTTGCATAATGTGTGAGAAATTACAATCTCCAAGTTTCAATATAAAATGACCACAAAATTTACAACTTTCTTTATTTTCTTTTTAAATCAAGAACTAAATAAAATGAATGTAAATGGCTGATAGTAGACAACTGTGGTAAATAAGTGGTCGATTTGATTAATCTGGAGAAATCACAAATAAGGAACAGGGATCAAAATAAAATCTCTGTCTAAAATTGTTATATAGAAGTAATCTATATAACAATCTCCCTAGAAGAATTTCCAAATGGAGAAATAAAGCAAAAAACATATGACTGAAAATGGCAATATTTGGATAGAATACTATAAAACTTTGTTATTTAACCAACCAGGACTTTAGAAAGACCAATGTGTTGTTCGAAGTATGGCCATACTACTCTCAAAAGGTAGTAAGAAACATGTCTGATGCCTCAGGAGCCTTGAATTGAACCTGTTGCATTTTACTTTATGTTAGAAAAGCACCAACATCTCTTTTTTTTGGAATAGGCTGTTCTAAGCAAACAAATCAATTGCCTTTTATGCGGGGGAAGGCGGTTAGTGAATGAAACACAAGGTGGTATGAAATGCTTTCAGGAGGAGCTGCATTGCCCAAGAACCAGAGGTTACTACCTCACATGTTTCGACTCTGAATAAATGAGCCCTTTCTTCACCTTATCCCTTTGTTGGAAGCGATTTCAATTCGCAACTATCCTGGTTACCTTAAACCTCCAACCAAAATTCTGAATCTTTTATTACTGAGAAACCTGGACCAAAGTGCACTCTTCCTTCGTGAAAGTACTTGCAGATGGTAAAACGTGCATCTCAATCCTAAGCATGAAGTTACAAGGTTATCATACCTCATTAGTTCATCGCAGCCACGAAAAAAAAGACCCACTCGTCTCACTTAATTTAGACTGCAGAGGAAACGTTTAATTAATTCCAGCCGAGGAAGGACCTCCCTACACCCTACCCAATGTTGGTGAAAGTCCTCTTCAGCAGACAGCTGCCGCCCAGCATGGCCCTCCAAAACTACGCAAACAGAGCTCGGAAAAAGGATGGGAAAGCAGCTCTTGAGACTAGAAGGTGACCAAACCTCGCTAATGGAAGGCTCTTTGATCATTGGCAGACTTGGCACAAACCCAGTGACAGTACGTCGTGTCTTCGACCTCGCCCTGGTACCCAAGATCGAGTTTCAAGTTAGCACATACTGCCAGTGGAGAAGCCGGTGAGTCGAAATCCGAGAGCCTTCCAGAGCCACAAGAAGGGTCAAGAGTCACGGGCCTGAGTGGGGACAACTGGTTCAACCCTTGCCGGCTCAGTTCTCGCGGCACCGGACCTCATCTGGCCGGAAATACAGGACCCTGGAGTCAACCCAGGAAAACCACTTACCCGTCTCCCACCTCCGGCGCAGGTCCAGCAGGAGCCAGACCTGCCGGGCCAGGGTCAAGCCCGGCGCCTTTTCAGGACACCCTGGCGACAGCCTCAGAGCGTCACTGACAACCACCCGGAAGTGGTTCAACTGCTTCCGGGACTGTCGAGCGCGCGGCGGGAAATTATTTCCCAGAGCCCGGATTAGGGAATCGGCGAGGGTTGCTGCGACAGTCGTCGCTCCCGTCGCAGCCGCTGCTGCCACCCTAGGGAAGCAACACAGATCTTTGGCCGGGAAGGTAAAGAACCTCAGCTCGGACGACCATATGGGGATCTTTTTTCCCCAGGCTGGGCCACCGAGTTTCTGTCCTCCCCGAATTGGAAGGGACTGGGGCGGACGGCGGGGACACCTGGTTGTCGCGCTTTCTCCAGCCGCCTCCCTTCCCACCTTCCTGGCTCGCTGTGCGCTGGTGGGATGTGATCGCAGAGCTGGCGCCGAGCCTCCTCCCCGCTTCCAACCAGCGGTGCCACAGCCCGGGCCCACCAGGAGGGCGCCGGGCAGCCAGCGTCCCTGGTTTCCATGGAAGCGGCTTGGACGCCTTGCCCTCCTCCCTGTGTTCCTGCCGCTGTCCTGGAGTGAGCGTCAGGGAAGGCGTTGGGGATCCCCCGTGCCTGCCTTCCTGGGACGAAGAACATCATATCGTTCTGTTTTGCTCCAGTAAATTTTTTGGTTAAAAAAAAATGGCAATGAGCATATCTCTAGAGCCACTAGAGGCCTTTCTTTAAATACAAACTTGCATGCATAAATGTTCCCTGAAGGCAGAGACTGTGTCCCTGGAGATTAGATCTCTGCTGCCTGAAGGCTAGGAGGACAGGGTTGAGTGCTTATTTGGAGATTTCTTTCACTTTCAAAGCCTCTGACAAAATATTGATAAAAAACTGATTTTCCTTAATACGCTTTCTCTCTCGGTATTTGACCCTGAAGTTTAGGCTGCTTCCTTTTGTACGCTCCAACCTCGCTTTCTTTTTTCTCTTTGTTTCTTTATTTTTCTTTCTCTTGTTTTTTGACATATGATTGACAGTCCCCTTCAAAAATTTTTCTCTTGACACATTGGGAACGAAAATTTAACCTGGGTGTATATATGACTGACGTTGCACCTTGTAGACGTTTTGGTTAATATTAATCTGTTGGGCCTGAGTTCCTGGAAATATGCTGATGTGCAAGATGTTCATGTTCCTGGAAAGTTTGTCTAATCTATATTACAGGTGTTCGATCCGTAGTTTGTATAGGAGGAGGAAATTTGATTATTTGTAAGTAAGGTATTAGTTTTATTGAGCCAATTCAGTAACTTGTACATTGTACTGTACAGACAGCCTTCAGTAAGGTACAAACTTTCATTAGATTTGTTTCCTAAGTAAATATTTTCTTAATGCATTATGACTTCAGTAAAGTTCAGTTATATAACTTAAAATTTTCTTGCTGCCCTAAAGCAGAAAGCATAGAGAATGTGAGTCTTTAAAGAGGGAGTCAAAATATAGCTACTTTTCATAATCATACTTAAGAACGCTGAAGATTTTATTCCAGGTATCCATAGGTTTCTCCGATGCCCCAAACACTTTCTTAGTAAAGCAATTGTATGTCTTTATTAATTATACAACATTTTCTTTATTATATGTATCTTGATTATAGTCCAAGAGAATCGTTTCACTTTAAATTGTTTTAAATAAAATAAATTCTGTGGAAACTGAATGAAACCTCTTTCACAAAAAGTAAACCAAAGTGTCACATTATTTATACTGTAACTCTTCTAATTGACTCTTTATGCTCATGGAAAATACACTTGTAAATGTCTTAGGTGCTGTTTCACACCTTATAGGAACATAGCACTGCTTAAGGCAAAACACCCCTGGAATTTTTAGCTTTTACTTTCTAGCAAAATTACTGTGAAATTAAAAACATTCTATTTTCATATTTTTTCATATGGAAGAAAAAAAGCTATATGCTTTACTCCAATAATTAATTGATCTGAAATCTGTTTTGAGAGGAAAATATTAGTAGTCTTTGTTTTCCATGAGAAAAATAATATGATCCCTTTTAGATTGTTCTTAGAAATGTATTGAAAATTTAGACACTGATAGCTGTTTGAAAATAATTTATATTGTTTAAAGTGTTTTTTAAATTTTGCTGATCTAAACGTGTTTTCACTTTTGTAGTGGATTCCCTTGGGTGCAGTGTACCTTCTTCTACTAGCTGGAAGTAGAATGCTTTGACAGTTACAGTATGGCTAGGCATATTAGACTAAATCCTGAAATTTAAGTCAGGTTGGTATTGTAGAAAAGGTGCATCATTTTTGCAGAAACAGGCTTATCTTTGAATTTTGGTTTCACTGTTTTGCTAGTTACAATATGTATCCATTAGTTAGTTTTTTTATTCTTCGTATTTCTCGGTGTTGGCATCTGTGTTAGAATAAATAGCACTTACATTGTGAAGAGGGCAATGCACTGATATATTACAGTATGCGAAATGTGTAGACTACAGTAGCTCATCAATCAAAATTAAACCCAGCTTCTAAGAATTTAATAAGCCTTAGATTTGTGCTGTTTCTGTTAGGTGGTCCAAAGTCCCTAGGGTACCAAAAAAGATTTAGTGACTAATATAATATCTGGTTTTCAGCCACTCTTTCCCCAGAAGCTGTTATTTCCTATGCAGTTGCTTCCTTTAAGCTTTTCAGCTGGGCATGGTGATATTCACCTATAATCTCAGCAGTTAGGAGGCTGAGGCAGGAGGATCGATGCAAGTTCAAGTCTAGACTGAACTATAAAGCAAGATTCTGTCTCCCCCCCCACAAACCCCACCCCCCCCCCAAAAAAAAGAAAGGAAAAAAAAAATGTCTTCCCACTCAGCTCAGCCTGTTCCCCATACAGTGTCAGATGGCCAGGCTATCCCCTTATGTTCCCTGAATCCCTCATTTCTTCCCTACTACAGTCCATTTGCTGCCAGTCCTCCATTTTCTTCCTGAATTTGCCACGAAAGGACTGATGGCTGCTCCTGGCTCTTAATGGTCTTGAGGTGAGACAATCTCTCAAGTCTCATTGCTGGAGAACTCTATCAAATAATTTATGCATTTATTTGGTATCTTTAAAGAATGGAGCAAGAAGTAGACACCACATCTTTTTTTAAGCATCTCAAAGACCACCTGAGTGAAATTAAATCAAGGACTGATTTGACTCCTAGGCCAAGAGGCGCCAGAATTCCTAAAATCTAGCTGCAGGTATAGCATTCAGAATCAAACTACTCAACCAGTGGGAGCTCTATGACACGTTTCTACCTTTTGCAGTACTGTACTGGTTAAAACAGTTCTAACACTGTTTTTCAATTTTAGCGGGTATTTTACTTTTCCAGTTAAATTTGGGTGAACTGTGAAAATAATTATCAAGCTCTTGAATTCAAAGCAACAATGTTGATTGCATTCAAGACTTGGTATATACTTTTACAGAAGAGGGAAGTTTCAAGTGATCTTCTTTTATTGCTGGAGCAGGTTTAAAAATCAAAACTGTACTATAATAGTGCAAATTGAAGTAGTGGCTTACACCTATAATCCCTGCACTGGGTAGGCTGAGGCAAGAGGATTGATGTGAGTTAGAGACCTTTCTGAGCTACATAGTGAGTACAAGGCCACTCTGAACTACATAGTAAGACTCTGACTCAAAAAAGCTCTCCCTCCAAAACAATGAAAAACAAGAGACCACCTCAGTTTTCATCATGTTGCTGTAAACCATGAATAACCATTGAGTGGCATGGGAACATGCTCATAGTATAATTTTCCATAACAGTTATAACTTTATGTAAATTCTGTTGTATGTAAAACTTGATGATTGTTGTAGTCAGGGTTTTTGCAAGGGAATAGATTTAACACAGGACACATAGTTTATAGGATTATTTTATAATATTCACCCAAGAAGTCAAATGCAGAAGAATGCGGGAGATGTGTCTACAGACTAGAGACCCCCCAAAAAATCCAGCCAAAGGCCTGGGTCCCATGGAAATGTGCAAGTCCTGCTGAAACCTAGAGCCCATGGCAGTGTGCTCTACAACTGCAACTGGGAGCCTAGAGCCGGCAACAAATCCTCATGCAAGTCTTTATCAAGGATCTGCACAGGGAAGGCCCAAAGGTCAGGGGTGGAAGCCAGAAAGTCTTTGCCAGCAGGATAAAGGATCTGTGCCAGCAGGCTGCACTGGAGCAGGAAGTGACACTCAGGATAAGGATGAGAGCTCATGTGAAGAGAACTGCAGCCATCCTCAGTGACAAGGAGAACCCAAGCTCCTCCGATTATGAGAACAGTCTGAGTTAATATGAGCAAAATTAGCATGACAGACTTCTCCAGGAGGATCATCAGGCACTATCTTTCCTTCCAGTTTTTTTTTTTTATGCTGTTAGCAACAATCCTCTGGTGGGCCTGCCACACCCAGTGCAGTCAGTGCAACAATTTAGCAAGATCTTGTGTCAAAAATAAAATAAAAAGGCACTAGAAGTGTAGCTTAGTCTAAAGTGCCCTGGGTCAATCCCCAGTACTGTTTCCCCCCAAAAAGAGGAATAGAGGAAGGAGGAAGGAAGGAAATTAAAAGACAAAATAAGAAGCTTTATGTTTTTAAAGTTCCCTTGTTTGTTTGTTTTTTGAGGCAGGCTTGCTCTGTAGTCCATGTTAGCCCTTAACTTGCAATCCTCCTGCCTCTGGGGTTACAGGTATGCTGAGTTACAGGTATGTACCCTACCACACCTAGCTTCAGAGTTCTTTTTATATATTTGGTAATAAAAGAATGCCAAATAGGAAAGAGTCATCCATACTTTCCTACAGAAACGTCTGTAGGCATCCCTGCCTCTCTTTCTGCAGCACTTCCCTCTTTTCACCCTAGGCTCTGCTCTTCCTGCTTCCTGTGCAAGACTTTTACGTCCTTGTCTGTGTTCCTTCCTCTGTTTGGCCCTGAGTTCCTTTTCAGCATGCTCTGATATCACAGTAGTCTTCAGACATGCCCCCAACTATGTATTATAAAGAATTCAAAGACCTTGAAAAGAAGTAAGTAATAAAAATGTTCATAATTATGATAGTGTGCGCTCTAGGTTTCTTTGCA